GTTCTCATTGATAGTCCAAGCATCACACCCATAAATTAGAACAGACCACACATAGCATTCTAGCAGTCGAAGCTTTGTTTTTATTTGCAGCTGCCTATTCTTGAAAACTACACTCACTTTACCAAAATCATCCTTAGCCAAAGCGATTCTTTTCTTTATCTCATTTTCACATCTTCCATCTGAAGTTATCAAACTGCCCAGATATTTAAACTTTTGAACATTCTTTATGCTTTCTCCATTGATTGTTAAGGAGCACTTTGGTGGTATACTTTTCTTTGATATCACCATGCATTCTGTTTTCTTGATGTTAATCTGGAGTCCTTTCTTTTGACTCTCTAAAACGACTTTGTTTAAGATGTTTTGAAGATCGAATTCACTTTCTGCTATGAATACAGTGTCATCTGCATATCTCAAGTTGTTTATATTCACACCCCCGATTTTCACACCAGGAATGTTCTTAATCTCTCTCAAGATGACTTCACTATATAAATTGAACAGATCTGGTGACATAACACATCCCTGTCTAACTCCTCGCTTAATCGAAAACCACTTGCCTATTTCTCCTTCAATCTTGATGGCTGCCAACTGTTCCCAGTATAAGTTCCGAATTAATTGCAAATCCTTTCCATCAATATCTAAAACCTCCAGCATCTTGAACATTTCTTGGTGTCTCACTTTATCAAATGCCTTACTGTAATCAATAAAGCTCAGATACAAATCTTTTTGGACTTTCACTGCTCTCTCTATCATCATTCTCAAGATAAAAATCGCATTCCTTCGTACCTTTTCCTTCTATATATGCATTTTGTTCTTGTGAAATCTCCTGTCTGATTTTGCTTTTCATTCTGTTTAACAGAATCCTGAGGATCAGTTTTGTGATGTGACTCATTAGACTAATTGTCCTATGGAGTTCACATTCACTCGCAACAGGTCTTTTTGGTAATGCTATAAACACTGATTTGTTGAGGTCAGATGGAATGTGACCAGTGCTGTAGATTTTGTTTGCAATATCCGTGACTTTTTCAACTCCAAAGTCATCCAGCTCTTTCACCAGTTCTATTGCGATGTTGTCAGGTTCTGTTTCTTTTCCATGCTTCATTTTCTGAATAGCAAACTGAACTTCTGCCTGCATTATACTCGGTCCTTCAACTTCTTTCTTTATCACAGGTTTTTCTCCTCTCTCATCCTCAAACAACTCATCTATGTATTCTGACCATCTGTCAAGTATGTATTTTTTCTCCAGAATAATGCTTCCATCTTTGGCTCGTATACAACCACTAGAAGTACAGCTTTTCTTTCCTGTTATTTCTCCAATTTCTTGATGCATGTTCTTTGCATCCTTGTTCTTCAGTTCTTCAATTTTCTCACACTTACTATTCAGTCATTTTTCCTTTTCCTCACTACATTTATTCCTGATCCTATTGTTTAGTTCCTTGTACTTATCATTTTCATGCTTTACAGCCCGTCTCTTGTCCATCAGTTGAAGTATTTCATCAGTCATCCATTTCTGTTTTGCTTTTTTCTTGGTCTTTGGAATGACACTTTCTGCTCCGTATACAATGGCATCACGAAAAATAGTCCACTCATCAGGTGTTTCACTTTCATTTTCCAAAACACTGTAACGGTTTTGGACCTCCACATTAAATTGCTGTTTTAGTGTCTCATTCCTACTTATTTGGGATACCTCTAACTTTGGTGTTATTTTGGATTTCTTCAGTTTCCTCAGCTTTATCTTCAGATGACAAATCAACAGCACATGATCACTGGCACAATCTGCTTCTGGGTAACCTTTCACCTGCATTACTGCATTCCTGAACCTCTGGTTGATCGTTATATAGTCTATTTGATTTCTTGCACTGTCTCCTGGACTTATCCAAGTGTATAATCGTCTTGGATGGTGTTGAAACCAAGTGTTCATAATGACCTGACCATTTTCCAGACACCATTCGATCCAGCTTTCACCTCTTTCATTCCTTTCTCCAAGCCCATGTGGTCCAACTGTATCACCCTCTCTTCCTTTCCCAACTTTGGCATTCAAGTCTCCCATGATCATCACAATGTCCTGTGATTTACATTGCTTTTTTGCTTGTTCCACTTCCTCATAAAATGCCTCAACCTCCTCCTCGGTATGCTCTGATGTTGGAGCATATACCTGAATGATAGACAAATTGAAGGGATGCCCCTTCAACTTGACTAACAGCACTCTCTCAGAAATAGCCCAAAATCTTATCATACTATTTGCCCTGTCTTTGTCCAGCATTACTCCTACACCATGCTGATGTTAATCTGCACGAGAGTAGATGACAGTTGTATCATCACTGACTACCTTTCCTGCTCCTGTCCATCTCATTTCACTTATTCCCAAAATATTCACTTTCAGTCTCTGCATCTCTCTCTCTTTACATTTTCCAGTTTTCCTTTTTCATACATTGTTCTTACATTCCATATTCCAATCTTCAGATGTTCTTTGCAAACAGTAGTTTGATGACGGTCTGGAGTCACCTGTTGCACATGACTATCCATACCGGACGAGGTGCCTCCACTGGAGGCAGAGGAGACCCCATTCACGTCGTTAGATTTTCTTCTGTTAACAGACGTAAGACCATTATTTTACTAGGCTTAATACAGCAGTGGTTCGCCTTTGCCTTCTGCCGGGTGTGTTTTTTCGAGAACACCATCTCTAGCTATCTGCCGTTGACCCATTTAAAACTCATCCGCCTTCTCTGGTTGCTAGCCACCATCAGCCTTTGGTCGGCCAAGACCACCCACAAGGCAGTGGGAGCAACAAGCTATCCACCGCTGGTTGCCAAGCCAGTATTTACTGTCCTAGCCTCAAGGATCAGTGCTCTCGGTATATACATATACATATATATATATATATATATATATATATATATATATATATATATATATATATATATATATACACATATGCATATACATATATACACAAACACATATACATATACATATATACACATACCTATATACACATACATATAAACATATATATATAAATATATGTATATATATATATGTATATATATATATATATATATATATATATATATATATATATATATATATATATACATATACACACACACTAGTATTGCTCTACAAACCGTTTTCTTAAATATTAATAACAATTGTCAGTTTGTTTACCTTTTTGTACAGGTGGTTGTTGCGTCTGAAGGCTTCCTCTTTTCAATCTCTGGCGCCGAGATGGGGTGTCGTTACTGTTTGTTTCGTAGTCAGAATCTTTAAAATGCTCAGAACAAATTGTTGCATTTTCTAGGTTGACTATTTGCTTTCCACAAAAATCAATCCATATTAGTCTCTCCTCAACAACCTTCGGAAATCTATGTAAATTTTCACGATTTTTGCACCCAAACACTGAACAATTAGGCATCGCAAAACACACATGTAATGCGCAGGGAGAGATGTTGTCACCATCGGGGGTAAGATGTGACTGATGGCACTTTTTGACCAGGAGCGTTTCAGGGGGGCGGAGTGCAAGGGACTAACCAATTTTCGAACGGAAGTGGAAATACTTGATTTATATATACTTGCGATGCCAAACAGCGCAGCGCGACGCCGAAACCCGGGCAGCTCTCCCAGGTGTTGGAAAACACAACGCGACTTTCTAGCTCGACCAAAGACGAATCTGATGCTTTTTCAACTAACGTCGTTCATGTATCCAAGAATTTATTCACATCTCTCTGTCATAGTTTCGAGATCTCAATTTTCTGTATATCATTGCAGCCGACAAATGGAACAGTGATGCTTCCTTCCTGTAGTTCTCTTAGCGCCTGCCTCCGGGACAAGGCCGTTTCTACTCACATCTCTCGGTTTCCTGTGCCATTAGTCTGCATGCATGTGTGGACACGGGCTGCTTGCATCTGCCTTGCATTCAAGCGCTCCCCCCATTTCCTTCACAGAGGCCATCAGGAGGAGCGAAGTTTCTCCGGCTGGCAGTGTCTCTGCTGGCGCTGCTGCTCGCGGGTCGCGGCCGCGGGGACGACGTCGGCTGGTTCCACGCCCAAGGTCCGCCCCCTCGCGGGGAGACAGAGAGAGAGAGAGAGAGAGAGAGAGAGAGAGAGAGAGAGAGAGAGAGAGAGAGAGAGAGAGAGAGAGAGAGAGAGAGAGAGAGAGAGAGAGAGAGGTATAGTTATTATAAACTATCTATATCTATCACTTTATACATATATATAGAGAGAGAGTCAGAGACAGAGAGAGAGAGAGTAAGAGAGGGAGCGAGCGAGAGAGAGATCAACATAACTGAACCCACAAGCCTCTCCCGCCAGGGCCGGGCAAGCGGTTCGTCGAGAGCGGCATCGTCCTCGTGTCGGTGCCCTTCAGCCGCATCAGGTGCGCCGCCTTCTGCAGACTGAAGCCCACTTGCGTGTCCTTCAATTACAACGGTGAGCTCCTTGCTAATACGCCTTCATCCTTGTGAAGGGTTATAGATTGATTGAATGAACCTCTAAACATTGGTGACAGGATAGTAAAAGCTTGAGTGTCGTAATCTCTTTATTGATAAGAGTTCAGCACGCGGTGGAAAACACAACGACGACAAGTCTTGGGTTTAGCGCGAGGTCGCCCAAGGTCACTGGCGAGCTCAGCCCAGCGGGCAGTCCGGCCGCGAGGGTCGGTGTGTGTGACCTCGGGCCCGACAAAGGACACTGGTTTGACAGGGGTTATCCTTGGAGAATAAGTAGCGGCGGCCACCGGAAGCAGGGGCGGAGCCACAGCGGCGTGGCTAACGAAACTGCCACGTGGTATGTATACAGTATATTGTATATTGTTCGGCCACCTACTCACGGCTCGTCCTAGCAATATACAATATACGCAAGATGACATTTCTTCAAGAAACTGTGAGTACACATTTTGGGCCCCTTCTCTTTTCATTTCCTTTCTATTTTTCCCTAAATGTGTTAGGCCGTGTACAGCCAGCTCACGTTAGTTTTTTGGGGGTTAAAATGCTAATTACCGAAATG